CAAAAACTGAAGCCAATTCTTGAAAACTGGCATGAGACCAGGGATGCCCTCTCTCACCATCCCTATTCAATATGTTTGCGAAGTTCTGGCCCGGGGCCACATCAGACAAGGAAAGCCATAAGGTATTCGAATTAGAAATGAGGAAGTCAAATTGTCCGTTTGCCAAGACCATGATTGTATTTTAAAATACCATATCTCAGTCCCCAAAATCTCCTTAGCTGATAAGCCCAATGTCCAGCAAAGTCTCAGATACAAATCAATGTTCAAAATCACAAACATTCCTATACACCATAACAGACCAAAAGGGAGCCAAATCATGAGTGAACTCCATTCAACATTGCTTACAAAGAGAATAAAATAACCTAGAATCCAACCTTACAAGGGATGTGAAGAACCCTCCAGAAGAACTACCAAACGCTGCTTCAACGAAGTAAAGAAGACATAACACAAATGGAATGAAACATTCCAGATCATGATAGGAAGAATCAATATTGGTGGAAATGGGCCATACTTGCCCTAAGGTAATGTACAGATTCCAAATGCCATCCCATGCAGCTACCAATGACTCTTCACAAAATTGGAAAAAAACTACTTCAAAAGTTCCATATGGAGTGACCACCATTGCCAAACCATCCTAAGCAAAAAAACAAAGCTGAGGACATCACACTACCTGGACTTCAACTATACTATCAAGGCGACAGTAACCAAGAACCAGCATGGTACTTGTACCAAAAACAAGATATATAGACGAATGGAACAGACAGCAGCCAGAAATATCCACCCACACATCTACAATCATCTGAAATCTGGACAAACCTGAAAAAAAAACGAGAAATGGGGCGAAGGGATCCCATTTAACTAAAGAGCTGTGAAAACTGACTAGCCCATATTTGGGGGGTTTAGAAAGCTGAAACTGGATCCTTCTTTACAATAAACAAATATAATTCAAGATGATTAAAGACTTAAACGTTAGACCTAAATACCACAAAAATCCTAGAAGCAAAACCTGGCAATACCATCAGGACATAGGCATGGGGCAAGGACCCTTTCAACTGACTAAACACCAAAAACAATGGCACAAAACCAAATAGATAAACATGATCGCTAAGTAAAACTAAAAGACTCCACACGAGGGGAAATAAATACCATTCACAGTGAACAACAACCTACAGAAATGGAATGAAAATTTTGAAATCTACCCCATCTGACAAAGGGCTAATATCCAGAATCTACAAATGACCTTAAACAAATGTTACAAGAAAAATCAAACCAACCGCCAATCAAAAATGGGCAAAGGATATGACAGACAACTTCTTAAAGAACTTTATGCAGCAACAGACACATGCAAAAATGCTAATATCACTGGTCAATCAGAGAAATGCAAATCAAACTGCAATCCAGAATATCATCCACACCAGTTAGAATTGGCGCGCAATCATGAAAAGTCAGAAACATACAGAAAGTCTGCGAGAGGATGTGGAAAAATAGGAATGCTTTTCAACCGTTGGTGGGAGTGTAAACCTATTCAACCCATGTGGAAAGACAGTGTGGCCAATTTCATCAAGGATCCTATAACTAGAAATACCTTTGAACGCCAGTCATTGCCAGTTACTGGGTATATACCCAATGGATTATATAATCTATGCCTACTAAAGACACAGTGCCACACGTAGTGTTATGGCAGCAACTATTCACAGAAGCCAAAGGACTGGAAACCCCAACCCAAATGTCCTTCCAAATGAACGGATATAGAAAATAGTGGCACAGAATACACCGACCGAAAAATACTAATGGAGCCATAAAAAAGGATGAGTTCATGCCTCTGTGATGGACATGGAAGAAGCGGAAAACATCATTATGCACAAACCTATGCACAAACTATCACAAGGAGAGAAAACCAAACACCGTCATGTTCTCACTCACAGGTGGGAATTGAACAATGAGAACACTTGGACACTGGGCGGGGAACATCACACACCGGGGCCTGTTGTGGGCAGGGGAAGGGATAACACTAGGAGAAATACCTAATGTAAAAGACAAGTTAACGGGTGCCGCAAACCTCCATGGCACACGTATACCTATGTAACAAACCTACACTTTGTGCACATGTACCCTAGAACTTAAAGTACAAAGGAGGGATAACACTAGGAGAAATACCTAATGTAAAAGACAAGTTAACGGGTGCCGCAAACCTCCATGGCACACGTATACCTATGTAACAAACCTACACTTTGTGCACATGTACCCTAGAACTTAAAGTACAAAAAAAAAGAAGATTGAGAAATTATACTCCACCGCTTGAGGGTGAAGTATCTACATAAATTATTTGGAATGTTTCCTCATGAGAAATTTATTCTCCCTATTTATTTATTCAATAATTTTTAGTAATTTATATCAGTATGGTATTATAATTCAACAGTACTTAATTTTGTTGCTCAAATTGTTCCAACTTTGTCCACTAAGCTCTTTCATTTGGCTCCTGTAACCCTTTGACATACTCCCATTAGAGTGTGTGTGTGTATGTGTGTGTCTGTGTGTGACATTTTTTACATTCCGGAACTGCAAGATGCTCCAGGCTCATCTTAATCATTTCCTGCCTGAGCTCTAGGATCAGCCATTCCTCCAAGGAGCTTTGGTCTCTTTCTTTGGAAAATGGTATTAGAAACCAAGATTTGGACACTAGGTATGCTTACCACTGCTGGGATGTCACTGCTTCTAAGCCCTCTCACCTGAAAAAGCAAGGAAATATATGTGTGTATGCTAACCCCTATAAATACACATATCTATGAGTATTTCTGTGTGTATCCAATCTGTGTCTGTATTAAGCTAAACAGAAATTTATACCAATGTCTTTAATTTTCATCCACTGTTATATGGATTGTTTTAGCCTTCTCCCTTTGCTTATCTGTAATTTCTCACTTCAGCAGTGAAAAACCTGGCTTCTACTATCTACCATGCATTTATTTAATTTTTAAATTTCAGTATACATATACAATGGTTTGAACAACTTTATCAACTAGAGTTCAGTGCTTGTATATAGTTCCTTTTGCCTTTAGTGTTACAGGTTCTAAAGTTAATTAGATCAGCAACTTTTTCTTCCACTCCCTTCAGTGCAGTTCTGTTATACTTATATACATTTATACATTTGTAATATGATTCCATTATTTTGTCACAGTCTGCATTCCTTCAAATGATTTTTCAAAAATTTGCATATATTTTGGTTCATTCTTTGATCTAACTTTGATCTAAAGTTCCATTAGTTTTGACAATGCATAATGTCATGTGTTTACCATCACAATAGAATCACTGCTCTAAAAAGAATTCCCTGTTTTTCACCTAATAAACTCTCCTCATAGCCCCAAGTCCCTGATAACTATTGATCTATTGATCGTTTCTATAGTTTTGCCTTTACCATAATGTAATCTAAATGGAATCATAATGTCTGTAGACTTTTCATACTGACTTCTTTCACTAAGCAACAGGTGTTAAAGGTCCATCCATATCTTTTTAATAGAATTAGATATTAAAATGTATTTACTTCACTGTGACTTTAGTTCTGTTAGAATTAGTACTAATCGTAATAATAGAAGCAAGAAAAGAACACAATACTAATAGACAAAAGTGATTCACTCTGTTGAGAGAGGTTAGGAAAAATTTCACAAAGGAGGAAGAAAAACTTGGATTAAACTTTCTGTTTTAATGGTATTCATTGTAAAGGCAGTGACACACAATCTTGCTACCTTAATGGAAAAAGTGCGTTCATTTTGGTATATAGATTGCAGTACACATACACCGTTAGTAAAGTTTTATGTTTTTAACTTACTAATATTACTGAAACATTTTTCTTGTTTACATGTACTCTTCACAATTATAGTCTTGCATATGTTTTAAGCATATTTTTATTTTTATAAAATTTATACATGCCAACTGTAGATAATTAAGTAAATACAAAAAAGTAGAAAAAGAAAAAAATGTATAATTCCATTACTCATCTGTAAAGGCAACATATTAGTGTATCTCCTACCAGACTTTAAATGGTTTTTAAAATTTTGCATATTTTTATTTTACCTAACATTATCATATTCTGTTATTTAAGACTGTTCACAATCATAAATTTAATGGCTGCATAACAGTAATTATTTGGATATTCCCCTATGCTCATGTTTCTATTCCGCTATTGTAAATAATCGTGATAATACTGTAACAAACATCTCTGTAAGTGAGTTTTCTTTTTGTTTGTTTGTTTGTTTTTTTTGAGATGGAGTCTTGCTCTGTTACCCAGGCTGGAGTGCAGTGGCATGATCTCGGCTCACTGCAACTTCTGCCTCCTGGGTTCAAGAGATTCTCTTGCTTCAGCCTCTCGAGTAGCTGGGATTACAGGTGCCCACCATCACTCCCGGCTAATTTCTGTATTTTTAGTAGAGACAGGGTTGCACCATATTGTCCAGGCTGGTCTCGAACTCCTGACCTCAGGTGATCTGCCCTCCTTGGCCTCCCAAAGTGCTAGGATTACAGGCATGAGCCACCATGCTAGCCTGTAAATAAATTTTCTATATATTTTAATTAATTTTCTCCAGGAAGACTCCTGCAAGGAAAAATAAATCCCAAATCCCATTTCAGTTGTGATAATTTCAGCTGTAAGTGACAATAACCCTCAACTAAAAAAGCTTAAACAGTAAGAAATCTATTATATCATATAAAAAGAAGCCCAATGTTAGATTCATGGTTGCTTCATTCACTGATACAGTGATGCAATCAGGAATCCTTGCATTCTTCTTCAACCTCTTTCATCCTCAGGATTTTGGTTTTGGTTGCAGGCTTAGACCCTCATTGCTGCAATATGGTTGCTGTGGTTTCAGGTATCATACCGTTACCCAAATGCCACCATGAAAGATGAGGGCAGGACACCAGATACTGACCCACCATGCTGAGGGCTTCGGATTTTCTTTCTGCTTGATAAACTTCTGTTAGCCATTCTTTTAGAGCAGTTCTGCTAGTGAAAAATTCTTAGTTTTCCTTCCTCTGAGAATGTCTTTATTTCATCTTCATTTCTGAAGAACATTTTAACTGGATATAGGGTTCTGGATTGATACTTCTTTTATTTCCTCATGAAAAATTTTGTGCCACTTCCCCATGGTTTCTAATGAGAAATCCTTTGTGAGTCTAAGAATTTTTTCTAGTATAGATAAAGCATCATTTTTCTCTGACTGCTTTTAAGCTTTTTCTTAGTGTTTAGTTTTCAAAAATCTGATTATAATGTGTTTGAACCTGGACTATTTTTTATAGTTATTGTGTTAGAGATTTGCTCAACTTCTTGAATCTGCCGTTTATGTCTCTTGTTAAATTTAGGGAGATTTTAGCTATTATTGGCACAAATATTTTTTTCAGCCCTGCACTCTTTCTTCTGTCCTTCTGGGACTCAGATGGCACAAATGTTATATTATTTGTTATCATTCAGTAGGTTTTTGAGGCTCTGTTCATTGTTTTTTTTTTCCAATCTTTTTCCCCTGTTTTCAGATTGAATAATTTTTGTTGATGTATCTTCAAATTCACGGATTTTTAACTCTGTCGTATTCATTTTGCTCTTCAATCAATAGGCAGGTGTTAAATTTCATTCGACATATTTTTCATTTCTAAAATTTCCGTTTGGGTCTTCCTGATACCTTCTGTTTCTTTGTTGAGACTTTATATTTCTTCATTTGTTTCAAGAGAATTCAAAATCACTTGTTGAAACATTTTATGATGGCTGCTTCAAAATCCTTGTCAGATAATTTCAACATCTGTCCTTTCTTGGTGTAGGTGTCTTTTGATTGCTTTTTTCTCATTCAAATTGAGATTTTCATGGTTTTTGCCATAATGGGTAATTTTATATTGTATCCTGAACATTATGAATACTAAGTATAAGACTCTGGTTTCTATTTAAATCTTCTATTTTAGCAAGGATTCAACCTTTTTATATAAAGAATGTACATCCTAGCCTAGTTTTGTGAGCTGTGATTCAAATGCCAATTTAGATTTCAAAGCCTTTGCAGTGTTATTCCGGTCTGCCACAGTTGTGTGCTTCCCAGAGACCAACTTGAATTCTGGGCAGTGTTTCAGAAGAGTGTTCAATTTTCAAACCCTTTGCTATGTTGTTTCTGGGGTTACATGCATGGACTTCTAAGAAGTTTTCTCAAGATTTCAACAGCTCCTTTCTTTCATTGGAAGGAGGAGTAACACCATTTCATTATTGTATGGCAGAGATAGAAGATAAGGCTCTGCCCACAGTCTCTAGGCTGCAGCATCTGGTGAGGAAGGGAAGATGTATGGCTGCATTGCTTTTCTGTTGGTGTTCACCTGGAATAGAGCAGGTATGGTTAAAATGTTTATGTCCTGCTGGGCTTCTTTTTCCTCCATCCTTTGGCTAGGGCTTTTTGTCCTTTTGGGATCTGTGTGTGTGTATATATGTGCCTGTGTGTGGTTGTTGGTGTTTTAGGTTGTGCTCCTTTCCAAGACTAGGATACATAAGACGCAAACAAAACAAAACAAAGACTAAGAGATTCATAGCTATGCCATTCTTCAAGTCCTGGGGACCCTAACCAGTCTGCTTTCTTTCCTCCAGTTTTGTCTTCTTTTATTTATGCTATGAATATTGTCCAGGGTTGGTTTGTTTTGTAAATAGTGGGAGGAATAGGATGAGTGAAATGTGTTTGCTCTATCTTGTTCAGACTGAAAACTCAGGACTTTGGATTCTTTGGGCAATGGGATACATTTGGATGTTTTTGAGTAAGGGAGGGACACCATTTGGGTAAGGGAGGGACATCATTTCTACATTTTAGAAATATTATGCTGCCTGTTGTTTAGGGAACTCACTGGGGCAGTGGTACATGTGGGGAGGATGGTGCTTTGGACCAGAGAGTGGAGAAATGTGAGGAATTTGCAGAATTTTTACAGAATTTGCTGGTAAGAGAAAGAGGAATTAGTTTTTCCAAGTTTTTTTGGCTTGAGAAATTGAGGGAATGATTGTATCATTTACTGACACAGGGAATTCTGGGGCAGAAGCAGAGTTGGTATTAGACATGGAAATCGAGAGTCCAAATTTTAGATGTGTCCAGCTCCAGATGCTAGGTACCCAAACAAAGACATTGAGTGGGCAGTTAGCTATTCAAGTCAAGAGTTTAGGGGAGAAATCAGGGCTGCTTATATGTAAGTTTGTAAACCATGAGGCAGAAGATGATATTTAAAACCAAAAGAGTGGTTAGATTACTTAGGAGTGAGTATAAACACAAAGGAGAAAAGATCTAAAACACTGAGTCCTGCATCTCCCTAACATAGTATCTGCATTGACACCTCAGTGGAATTTGACGTAGCTCATTATTTGCTTGTTCTAACATATCCTTTCTCTTCATTTCAGTGACATCATCTGCTCTCTAGGTTTTTCTCCAGTTTTTTAGGATGTCCCTTCTTATTATTGGCAGGTCTCCCTGCCTTCCTGACCTATCCCTTAAAAATTGTTTTATTTGGGGCCAGGTGCAGTGGCTCACACCTGTAATCTCAGCACTTTGGGAGGCTGAGGTGGGCGGATCACGAGATCAGGAGTTTGAGACCAGCCTGGCCAACATGGTGAAGCCCTGTCTCTACAAAAAATACAAAAATTAGCCAGGCTTGGTGGCATGTGGCTGTAATCTCAGCTACTTGGGAGGCTGAAGCAGAAGAATTACTTGAACCCAGGTGGAAGAGGTTACAGTGAGTCAAGATCACACTACTGCCTTCCAGTCTGGGTGACAGAGTAAGACTCCATCTTGGGAAAAAAAAAGTTTCATTTTGTTTTGTTTTGCTTTTTCTCCTATAAACTGTAGTCTCTAAATGCCATTTTCCACTGGGGCTTACAGAAATGGCTGATTCCAGGCCTGAGGCAGGAAATATTTGTAATACAAGCCAGGTTTATCTTTCATGCTAATAAATAAGAAAGCTACTGATGACCACTGGGGTTATGTCAAAGGGACACAGGGTCCAGCTGGAAAGAACTCTCACTGCATAGATTTGGGACAAGTTGAACATCAAAAATAATGATTACAATGGATTAAAACATATCAGGTATATTAAAATCTATGTGTTGATGATAGTACCAAGAAAGGTCACTTTTCAAGGATGCTAGGAAATCAACTCATTCTGAAAACTGGTAAATAAAAGGGAAGAGTCAAGTATTTATTTTGTCTTTCATATAAGAACTGTGCCTCAGGGTAATTAAAGATTTAATGTAGTAAAATTCTTCTTTGTGGAAAAATTCCAGCTAATAAATGTGGAGGGAATAATAGAATATCACCATTTTGCAAACTCTAATGAAATAATGGATTCAGGCAATGATAATAAATGGCTGATTAAAGATCAAGTTGACTACATCTGAATCCACTGATTAATTTAGTATCATAAAAAAAGACAACAAGACATTATGTGTCTCCTGATAGACACTAGCCACATGTGGCTATTGAGCATCTGAAATGTGGCTATGGAACTCATGTGCTATAAGTGTAAAATAAACACTAGATTTTTAAGACTTGATCTGAGAAAAGTAAAATGTTCCATTAATGTTTTAAAATATTGATTAACTGTTGAAATGTTAAAATTTGGATATATTGGGATAAATAAAATATGTAATTAAAATTATTTTCAGCTGTTTTGTTTCACCTTTTTAAGATGTGGCTTTTAGAAAATTTAAAATTACATACATGATTTGGATTGTATTTCTGACTTGTTCACAATGGAGTCTTCAGTGGCCAGTACAGAGCTTGACACAGTTGTATAAATGAATGAAGTTGCTAATAGTTAAAATTATTTCATTATGTATTTATGTGATTTCATCTACTAGAAACTCAACCACAAATTGGGAGGAGCAGTGGGGAATGAGAGTGGTGGAAAGTGTATCAGATTTTAGAGAAAAGCAGTGGCTATGAGCCTGTAGATGTTCTGTAGTGGGAGACTGAAGACTATAAAAATGCTTGGTATTGTATTAGTTCATTCCCACACTGCTGTAAAGAACCACTTGAGAATGGGTAATTTATGAAGAAAAGAGTTTTAATTGACTCACAGTATGCAGACTTAATCAGAAGCATAACTGGGAGGCCTCAGGAAACTTACAATCATGGTGGAAGGTGAAGGGGAAGCAGACATATCTTACCATGGCAGAGCAGGAGAGAGAGAGAGAAGAGGGAAATGCCACACATTTCAAACCATCAGATGCCATAAGAATACACTCACTATCATAAGAACAGCAAAGGGTAAATCTGCCCCCATGATCCAATCACGTCCCACTAGGTTCTTCCTCTCGAATGTGGGGATTACAATTTAATGAGATTTGGGCAGGGCACATGAGCCAAACCATATCATGTATAAACCAGGTCTGTCTCAACTCTTTTTCCCCAACTTCCACTCTAGTTTATCTCTCTACCTTTCTTACTTTTCTCACTTTTTCTTCACATCCTGCAATCTTTTGTTTTGTTTTGTTTCATTTTCTTTTTTCAGTTTAAAAATCTATTGAGCCATTGACTAAGAATAAAACATATAATTTGAAATAAAAAGAAGCCTTATAACTAAAAGAGATCCTGGAATTTTAGGTAATTTTTCTTATCCTATTCCTCTTTTTTTAGTTCTTTCTGGCTGCTATAAAAAACTATCATGGATGGGGTGGCTTATAAGCAACGGACATTTATTTCTCACAATTCTAGAGTCTGGGAAATCCTACATCAAAGTGCTAACAGAGTTCATGTCTGGAGAGCACCCACTTCCTGGTTTATAGACAACCATCTTCTTGTGTCCCCACATGGTAGAAGGGGCAAGGGAGCTCTCTGGGGTCTCTTTTTAAGAGCACAACCCCATTTATGAAGGCTCTGCCCTCATGACCTAATCATCTCCTAAAGGACCCACTGTCTATTCACATTAGGAGTTAGGATTTCAACATATGAATTTGACAGGGACACATTCAGTCTATAGCACTCTCCTTCCCCCAAATTAAGGGGTTGGCCATTATGTTTTTTTTTCCTGGTGCTCATTTTGTAACAAATGCAATGCATTTAATGACACTACCTACCCTTTCATACCTACGTGTCATCTAAAGCCTATTAAAGACTTTTTAACCCCCCAATACTTGAAAATCTCCCTTCGTTTATTGGTAATATGAGAAATATATGATATCATGATTGTAGCGTTAAACATGTTTTAGGGTGATTAAAAAATATATGTAAGTAATACTCTCAGGGGCATGGAGGTGGAAGCCACAAAATGGTTTGAGAAAGAAGCCAAAGGGTGAGGAATGTGTGAGTGAATCATCTATCACTGAACCTGCACATTCTCACGTTTAGCAAATATTAATCCACCTCTTATAAGTCTTATGGTGTGACTTTATTAATGATTTGAAAAGTTTAGAATTCACAACCATAGAATGTAGATTTTCACATATAAATATGAAACTATATTACAAAAATTTTTGCAATACCCATTCCTTTAGCCTCCTTTAGAACTTAGAACTTTCCCTTTCCTTTCTTACATAGTAATTCTCTCAAGTTTTGCTAGGAAACCAGCTAGATAGTTAGTTGACCCTCAAATGTTGATGAGTATATTACATATTCAAGAAACTAATTTTTATTTTAACAGGAGTCTCTAAACACAGTTGTTTCTTGTGAAACAACACATTAATACCGAATTATTATTGGTGAGAGGGGTATTTTTGGACCGCCTTAAGTTTTGCTCACAGTATTTAAAGGCACTGGTGTTTTGACTGTTCCATGTCTACTGCCCCAGGCCTGGCTTTATCTGATTAAGCCAGGTTCATATGTGAGAAAAGAACTACATCTGCACAGAGAAAATGGAACTTTGAGTCTAAACATTATAATGAGCTCTGTCACAACAACTATGTGTGTGTAGAGTATCCCGGTTGTGAGATCTAACAGTCTGAGTCTGAATCTGGGGCACATTACTTACTCTTTGTGTGACATTGGGCAAATTACTTGTCTCTTCTGTAAAACTGATAAAATATTGACGTCTGTCTCAAAAGATTATTGTTGAAATTCAATGAGTTAATACCTATCAAGTGCTTAGAATAGTTCCTGGCCTTTGGTAAGTGTTTAGCCTCAGCTATTATTATATAAGAGATACCAATAGAATATGTCTGGATTTCTCATGTGGATATCCTCAGGTCTAATTCATTTATTTGTTCCTGCCACGTTACAGTCAATTTAGAAGCAGTTTAAAACTTGACTCACATTAGGTATTATTCACATAATGAATGTCGGTAAACAGTTATAGTTTTCCAAATTATGCTTATGAAATTGAAATCTTGGACAGTGCATCTAGGTTACAATAATATAAAGGTATT